GAGGAATGGGGGACGACGCCGTTTTGTGGTTATGAGGAGGGTTAGGGTTTCGTTTAGGAAGGAAGAAAAGAATAGGGTTTCTGAGAGGGGTTGCGGTGCCGCTAGGGTTTGGGAGCGAGAAGCGATGAACAGTAACCTCCCCCCATTAAATCTGAAAGTTTCCTCTCTCTTATAGCATGCTGGGTTCAACCCTAATGGGCCGTTGAAGTGGGCTTTCCATCAGATTCCTTCAATTTTTTTTTTTTTAATTTTCTTTCCATTATTTTTTTTAAAATAATTACTAAAACAAATATTAATAATATAACTTAATAATTACAATATTAAAATTAACAACTAATAAATATTAAAATATATAAAAACAAACTAGAATTTATAAAGATGAAAGATAAATACTAAAAAATATTGTTAGTAACATTTAAAAGAAAAAAACAATTAAGAAAATAATATTCATCAAAAAAGGTTCTTAGGCCACGTGTTTCACTTTAATTGGCCAAAACAATATAATTCTGCAAAATCAACCAATTGTGAGCGGACACGTGCCTAAATAATGAAAAATTAAGCAAACAATGTAAAACAGAAAAAATACAACCGAAAAAGCGAAAATAATTTTTTAAAAAATGGGTAGGACAAATTTCGGGTATGACAAACATATGGGTTGAACAGAGAATGAGTTCTTGAAGACATGAAGATGCGTCTTATGTTTTCCATTCATGTGCACTAGGTACCCTTAATTTGGGGAGTTATACTTCTATCCAGGATCTGTTGCTGCAAAAGTGCAGTTATGTGTCAAGATTGTTTGTGAGTTCAAACAAATCTGGGACTTGATGAAGGCAAAATGTCAGACAAGGTGTTATGACATTGGGTTACTGCTCCAAGCTCATGGTGAACATGGCAGTGTATTCCTTTTGGGTCTGTCATTAAGTGACAAGGGATCAAGCCCGGTATTTGGGCCTCTATCCAAGTACTATATGACTGGTGAAGATGAAGATCAAGACACCATCAGCCTTGATCTTGTACATATGGAAGCATCATCACTCTGACATCTTGGACATTTTCTGTCAAAGCTGAAATCTGAGAAATCTTCCAGATATGAATCCTGCTATTGCCTATGCTATTTGCTCTAGTAAGGGTTGTGAATCAACGGGTGTAAAGTTGCCTGTGTGAAGATGATGAAGTAAGTCTTCATATGCTTGGGTTCTCTTTTTCAGGGGGAACAATGTTTATGCTGCAGGGGAAGATGTGTACCTGTCTGGTGTGTAGCGGCTGAAGTGGTGCAGTCCTTATTAGAGGTCAAGCAGCTTGTGTATGATCCAGTACTCCATTTGGTGTCAAAGTTTTGACTAAACAAAGGGGGAGAAAAAGAATAACTACTGCTGATGATGAGGAAAGCATTGTTGCTGCCATGATGGATGCAACTATCAAGGGGGAGCATGATAGTTGTGTAACCTACTGCTGAATGTTCTGATAAGTTGTTTTAGCCAAAATTTACCAAAGGGGGAGTTTGTTAGTTTCATAGTTCTATGATATAGAATTGTCCATGATTCTATGATTAGCTAAATTGTGGTAAAACAAGATTCTGCACTAATGTTAAACAGGATGTCATTACCATAATTATGACATCACTACAGGAGCAAGCAGGAGTTGGTGAAAGAGCTGCTGACACGGGTGTCATTACCAAAGTAATGACATATGAATAATAGAACTGCTGTCATCGGTTGACATCTGGTGCAGCAGGAGCTAACCAAAGCAGATGACATAACTGGTGTCATGGATGCAGCAGGAGTTATGTGCAACAGGAGCTTGCAGAGGCTGACATAAAGGTCGAGTGCAGCAAGAGCAAGCAGGAGCTAGCAGAGGCTAAAGAAAGGACAACTGTCATGGATGTCATTACCAAAGTAATGACATAGCTGTCTGGCACAACAGGCACTGCTATGGGTTAGCAGTAAGGACAGTTGTCATGGATGTTATAACCAAAGTAATGACATAGCTGTATGGCACAACAGGCACTGTTATGTGGTAGCAGTAGTCCAGTTCCTCACAGGCAGTGTGAGGTGTGCAACCACAACAGGTTAAGTTGTGATGAAGTTCCTCACAGGCAGTGTGAGGTGTGCAACCACAACAATGTGAGTTGTGGTGTGTTGTCATGTGTTTTAAGCAAGACCTAGTGCAATACATAGTTGCATGACAACAGAAGGAGTTGTCAGTGTACATCTCTTGACAGAACTGGTTTGGATTGATGAGATCATGTTGAAAATACCTCATCAGTAAATATGCCAAGGAGATGGTTTAGGAACAAGAACAGATAGTATTGGTGTTCATAAAAGGATCTTGGAGACCTTTTAGGAAACTTGTTTCTAATATTATTCTGCAGAAGATTGGAGAAACCATGACTGTCATGAAGAAGATTCAGCAGAAGTGTGCAGCAGAGCAAGCTGGTCAGCTAAGAGTGAGCAAAAGCTGAATGTCATACTGAATGTCATGACATGGATCGTATGACATTAGACGAGCTAAGTTTGTTTTTCTGTTATGATACCTGATTTATATCAGGCTAAATATCAGGAAACATGTTATGACCTCTGAGTTATCTCAGGAGATATTCAAGGCAATGCTAACCATGCCATGACCTAATTGGACAGCACCTTGAATAGTGGAAATTAGTTTTACTTTATTAAAACTAATATTTATTACTTCTGCACAGCCCAAGCCCAGTCTGCACTACTATAAAAGGAGGAGCAGGAGCAGAAGAAAAGCAAGCACTCACATCAAGAAAAACCAGAGTGTAAAATAGAGGTCTAGGGTTGAGAGTCCCTTGTGTGTAAGTCACCCTTTGCATTGTATGATGCATTGTGGTAGACATAATTATAAGTGAAGAGGGTTGTTCTTCACGTGCAAAGTCTGTTTAGGAATACTTGTAATCCAAGCAATTATCTGGTGGATGATTGTTTTGGTTAGGTAGATTCTAGGTTGTGTCTTACTCGAAGCTGTGAAGAAAGAGTGTGTGAGTTCCTTGATTAAAGTTGTGAAGCAAGATCAAGGTGTGTATGAAGTGTCTCTTCATACTGTTTTTGTAATTGTTTGATATCACTGTTGAGTGATTGAGGGGGAGTGAGTGGGTATACTCAGGTACTAGAGTGTCTCTAAGCTGAAGTGTCATTGGGTAGAGATTAAGTGAGAAGTGCAAATTGGAGGTTTGACTTTGAATTGATTCTACTAATAGTGAATTTCCTCCCTGACTTGGTAGCCCCCAGATGTAGGTGTTGTTGATACAGAACTGGGTGAACAATTACTATGTTATTTATCTTTCTACATTTACAATTCTGTAAGTTAAATGGTTAGATAAATAGTATGACAGACTGCAGATGTCACAACAGAGGTTGTGACATTGGTCATGACATTAGGACAATTTAAAGAAATTTAAATTGGTCATGATCTGTCATCATCCTTGTTGAGCAGAGATCAATGTTCTTGGAACACATGTGATCTGCATACCAGAATTTCAACATGCATCACTCGCGAACAGACTTCGACAATACTAGAGTTCGATCCAACATCTCACAGTAACCTATGTAAATTTCAAAACTAAACAATAAACCAATGAACAAATTCATGAATAATTAATGACATGAAAAGGAGTTTTAAAAGTAAAAGCATTTCAAAATTTAACCATATGAAGGTCAGCAAATGCTACTATGTTCAATTTTCATCAATCTCACCGTAGACACTATGAAATCATTCAACAATTGAATAAGAAAATGAACAAATCACTTAAATTTAAGCACTAAAAAGAGCCTCTTTTTTTCGGTGAATTAAGCTTCTGGGATTTACGAGAATGGTTAGCAGCAATCCAAATTTTCAATTATTTTGGTGAATATTAATGATGGTGCGTCACTCTACACAAGTTACATTGTAAATGAAATAAAGCTTTTTTGTTTGTTTGTTACCGTTAATAGAAGTGGGAATGAATATGTTGGTGTTGCGGTTTCTATGTGGAAGCTTCAATGACTTTGAAAAAGATGATGATGAAGAAAAAGTTGTTATAGTTATGAGAGGTTCTGCGAGAAAAGCTAAAGCCATGTATAAATATACAAAATAAATAGTGTTAAAATTTTAAATAAATGACCAAGTTTCAACTATAACAAAAGTTGATCTTTATCATTTTACTAAACATTTTATGAATTAAAATGATAGTCCAAACATAGCTAAGACTTCATTTTGGAGTCACCCTTAATTTTATGATTTAGCGTTGCTTAAGACATAGGTTTTGCATAATAAAAAAATAGTTTCTATTAGCAAATATTTGCGTGTTGGTAATATAATCGATTCTATCATAATGTAATTTTTCGTTAAATAAATAGTCAATTTCCTGTAATTTTGTTTTAGCATGTATTCAAATGTTGCATCTTGATTAACTGAGGGAAAATAGTGAGATGAGAATAGCAAAAGGGCTTTCTGATGACGGTGGATACATAGGATTAGAAATAGAGAAAGGGTGGAACAAGAAAAAAGAAGATAGGAGGAATCAAGTGTGTAGAGTGTATAATAGAATAAGTGAGCAAGATTAATCCAATGGCTCTTATTCTAATGAGGGATTTTTTAGACCCTCATCTCAGATGTAACCTTCGTAATAATATAAAATATATGTCGATTGTTTGTTTTAAAATGATTATCGTTTTAAGAGAAAAATTTTATTTTAAAATAAATACCGTTTTAATAAAAGTATAATATTTTATAACAATATTATTATATTCTTTAATCTGTATACAAAAATTTTAAACGACAGTATTTTAAAACAGATAAAATAATAAATTTTTGTTTATAAATTAATATGGAGGTAGAATGTGTCAAAGAATAAAACTATTGAAAATTTAAAATAATGATAGATACAACAAATCACTACGGACAAGTTTAAACTTAAACCATCGTCCATGTTTTAAGCTGACAATTTCAGTCTTGATCTCACTTTCATTCTTCCTTTGACTCATCACTTCCCTAACTCATAAATGGCGCATAACAAGAATCACAATCAAACACAAACATCTCATTCTCCCTTCACTCAACCTATCCGCTGTATTGTAAAATTAGGTATCACTCTCTCTTTCTCTCTCCTTTTGCTTCTTACTATTATTTTTTGCAAAGTATAGTTCTTTTGAATTTGATGTGATCTTCAGGTGGTGCTGCAATTACTTGCAAAAATGAGTTAGAGAAGATAAATGAGGAAATTCTTCACAAAGTTTCTGAACATCTTAGGCAAGCAATGATTGCTACTTCTCAGAAGCCTCCAGGGATGGATTGGAGTAGGATACCTGGTGAATCAGAAATCAGCTGTAAACCAGAAGAATTCGGAGATGATCATGTCTCGGAATGTAGCCGATTCATTGTTGTTCATGGAGCAGGTTCCTTGATTTTTTCCCTCTTTCAGTTAAAAATTTCACATAAATGATAATATTATATGAATTGTATATCTTATTAAAATAGCTTATACCTTAATATGAAAACAATTTGACCTTATTTTATCTTTTGCTATAGAAACGATTATGCTATACGCGCTTAATTAAGTTGTTTATTGAAAATAGACCTTAAGAAGTTTTGTACTTGAAGTTCTTTACCATTTTGATTGTGATTTGACAAGCTTGCTAATGTTTAAAAACTGGAAATTAATTTTTAATGATAAGCAATTAGTTCATATTAGTATCTATGGTGCTCTCAGGTTCTTTTGGGCATTTCCAAGCTAGCAAGTCTGGTGTTCACAAGGGACAGCTGGATAAACCGCTTGTCAAAGGCGGCTTTGTTGCTACGCGAATATCTGTTAGTAATCATTCATTGCCAATTTTATAAGATCTCTAACAGTTGTATTTATGGAATTTTTAAAGGCGAGTTTGAAATTTTGACTTTTATATAAACTCATCTGCCACATATGAGTTAAATTCTTTCTCCAAACTCAAGTCGATGCTAATCTAGCTTACTCATAAACTTCATGCTGAAACTTGGCAAAAATGTTCAGTTTGTAAAATTGTTTTGTTTTATTTTCATCACTCTCAATCCCTGTATTTTGGTATCTAAGTGTGATGCCATGCTTAACGTTCCATTTGATTTTAATTTCAGGTAACCACTCTCAATCTTGAAATCGTTAGAGCACTAGCCAGAGGTAGTTCTGTTACTATTGCAATCTTTAGTTTCAAGCTTTTCTACTATCATGTAGTCGGCTGGTCATAAGTAACTTACCGAATGTTATCATTGGTATCAGCATGACTACATCTAACCTTTTTCTGTCATATCAAGATTTGTCTCATGTGTAAGCTGTAACTGCGGGAAATTCCTACAGTAGGGAATCCGGATCCTCATTACACTAAAACTTAATACTTGCAGCTATTTGTTACTTTTACTTCTCTTTTTTGGCTTCAAACTTTTTACTAAGAAATTATTGAAATTCATTATTCTATTTTTTTTCCTCTTTGCAGAGGGCATTCCTTCAGTTGGAATGTCACCTTTCTCGTGTGGATGGATTACTGGTGAAAGACATGTTAGTAAACTCTCAACTGAATATATGTCGGATCGTATAAAATTAACAATGTATTATCATCTTGTTTTGTCTTCCTTTTCAGATATAGTTAGTATTCTAAGTTCATATTCAACATGTGCAGATATCTTCAGCCGATTTGTCTCCCGTAGCTAGTGCTATTGATTCTGGTTTTATACCTGTAAGATTGAATTCTCCAATTTACAAAACTTTCTTGCACTCTTGTAATTTTTCCTTGTTGCATTTTGTTATTTCACTATCTTCACGCCGAATGACATAGGTTTCATCGCAATTTGTCTAGGTTCTGCATGGAGATGCAGTGCTTGACAAGATTCAGGTAGAGACTCGGTCTATTAAGTTTTATTGTTCATTAATAACAAAAATTGTAGTTTTTGCGTTGACTTTTACTTCCCAGGGATGCACTATTTTGAGTGGAGATGTTATCATAAGTCATCTTGCAGCATACTCAAAGCCTGAATATGTTGTTTTCTTGGTATCCTCCATATGTCATGTATATCGATTTTTATTCTTCAATCAATTTTGTGAGTATATAGTTTCATCCAAGTAATGAACGTCTCGATAATCGATATATTGCTAACTTGCAGTTACTTTTTGCGCTAGGTTAAATCTGTTCCAAAGACGCGGTTAGATTTTCAAGATTGTATCAATATGCTAGATAGATATGATAAACCACAACTTCAAATTATCTTGGATCAATGTACTGATACAACATGCTACACAACTTACATATCACAAATATTAGAAATTTTTACATGAATGTTTTCCATTAATTATGAATGAAAGACAGATGTATATGGAGTATATGATCGCCCGCCAACAGAGCCTGACGCGATACTACTAAAGGAGATTGGTGAGAACTTGTTGTAAACTCTACCTTCCATATGACCTATTCTAGTCTCTTCATATCACAACTTTTTCAACTCTGACAGCTGTTGCCGAAGATGGAAGCTGGTCAGTCATAAAACCAAAGTTGCAGAACTCAAGTAAGCCGATTTAGACTCAGGTTTGAGAAATCTTGTATTCACTCATAAATCACAAGTTGCCACAGTAGCATGGCAATTCACTGTGAGCAGGGGCAGGGACGCGGATTTGATTTTATTATGTTTTTTTGTTTGTTAAGTGATGAACATTACATGCATGTGATTGAATTTTTCTGTTTGTGACTGTTATTTACAGTTGAGCTAACTGTTGCTGCTCATGATACAACTGGTGGGATGAAAACAAAGATCTCAGAAGCTGCAATGATAGCAAAACTTGGAATTGATGTTTACATTGTAAAAGTAATGTTCTGTTTGTTATGTTTCGTATGTTTTTCTTATATCTTAGAATTCCTAATTTTGAAAACACAAAGCTGCATTTCAGGCAGCAACAAGCCATTCATTAAAGGCCTTAAATGGAGATCTTAGAAACAGCATCCCTGATGACTGGCTTGGAACAGTCGTTCGATCATCAAGATAGCCATAATCAAATCTTTTGCACAAGTTGATATCATCAAGAGGAAGTAATGAATTCAGACTGCAAAATTGAGGGTTAAAAGATGATCATTTGAGAGGTGATGTTCTGCATATAATGAAGGTCGACAGTTAAAGATTGACAGTTAAATGAACTACTACAGAAGATCATTTCACATTTCCATTTTAGCTGCGTTAATTACCCAAACAGAGACTCAAACTTGATGCACAATTGTGTGTTTTCTTTATAAGTTTATTCTGAGTGTGTTTGCTATTTTGACAACTTTTTCATTTCATTTTAGTGTCTGGCTTTCCCTGCCATTGTCTCTTTTCCATTTTAACTACAAAGAACGTTACATTTTTTTTACTTTGTTGTTTATTTTGATCATTTTGTACAGAAAATGGGGGAGAAGTAATTTTCTATTCAACTTTAGAAAAAAAAAAGGTGAAAACAAGATATTGTTCTCTTTTGAATCAGAAACATTTTCATTATTTTTTTTGTTACAGAAAATTTAGGTGGATTAGGTTTTAGAGACTTTTTCATGAATATGTATAGCAGAGAAAAAAATATAATATAATTAAAAGTATGGTGATAAAGAAAGGCATACATATAGAGAGGGATGTAATATATTTTAGATGCTGTAAGTTACTGCAGTGGAAAAGGTTTTTGCATTAACTTCAGAATCAGGGTTCAAATCTGGTGGAGAACTTTTGGTATGCTAATTTCACAGTGACAACAGTTATTTTGAAATGGAGAAAGTACTACTTTAGTTGACATGACATAAAAAAATTATAATTTTACAAAGTAGCATTTGAAACAATGTCTCCTACAGTACTCTTACTCTGAAGTAGGTCATTAATTTTTTATTTGTTGATTAGTAGCATAATAGTAAAATTTCAAAATAGGGAAGATGTCGCGAGTTCAAACTAACACTCTAGCAATTGGATATCACAGCATATCTACCAACTAAGTTCGCTTAAGGGCCTAAGTCCTTCCAACTGAGTTCACTTAACCTCACTTAACTCCTTATAGAAATGTGATTTCGTTGGGAGGCCCAAAGTGAGAAATTGGAACATCTTATGCTTAGGTCAACCGCGCAATCGGCTGTTCCATAAAACCGACCGGAGAAGATGTAAATCATGTTAACACTACACGTTTAAGATGATAGAAAAATTCAGAAAGACAACGAGTGCAGAATAAAAGGATCAGAGTTTTCTTTTTCCCATAACAAACCATAAAATTCAGCTGCAACTAAGAAGTATACCAAATTGAAGAGAATCATAGTAGAAACGTGAGAGGGTCTCATAGATAAGCACATATAACTTCTTGACAGCATAAAACAATCTTGGTGGTTCTAGTATTGATCTCAGACCACACAAAAAAGTGGTCAAAGACTCAATAATCTCAACCATTCCCATATCTTGTAAGAATTGCACAAACATAGATTATCTCTTTACACAGCAAACACACATAAATATTAAATATATCGTCTCAATTCCAAGCAGCATTCATGGATTTATTACTTCGGGCCGACGTCCTTAAGGCCACAAATCTGCTCCTCGCCCATGGCAGACATGACAGACACAATCAGATCTTTACCTTCGTTAAATCCATCCTTGATCTGCATCGCAGAATTTGAAATCAGTACAAGAAAGTGCAAATCATAAAACTCAACAATCTTAGGCCAGTTTTCATGAAGATTAAGATAGTAACTAACTGATACGATAACAATCTATTAACTAATCACATCTCTGATGAATCTCAAGCAACTATTCAACACAAAAAGCAAAAGCTGTCGAGAATATCGAACAAACTAACCTGCGAAAGCAGACTATCATCGGACGGAAGCTTAAGGTCATCCTTTGTACCACCGCTCTCAGTCAGCAGACTCACCTAACATATTCAAAGAAAAATAATCTTTGATTCAAGAGACAGTGTCACAAATTATCATCTTTCATAAGCTATCTTGAGTAGCTTTAAAAATAAGTTAAAATCAACTTCTGGACATGTTAAAACTTTTGTCCATAAACTCTTTTACAGTCTCAGAAGTGATTATATCACTAGATAAAATCAAATAAGTTAATCCAAACAGATCTTTCAATCATAAACCTACTTCAAGACAATAAAAAGGAAGGAATAAGGTTTGTGTGTAATCTTACAAATCCATCCTCAGAGATATCAATAAGCTGGTAATCAGTACGATTGACATGAGGAACCTGTTGTCACCAGTAACCACAAACAAACACATCAACCCTAGTCAATTAACCAATCAATTAAAGATTAGAAGCAGATTCAAATCCAAAATCAAAATTATACATCACAGTTATGAGAAGAAGGAACAATATCTTCAAGCTTTTTCCCAGTGAAGATATCAATAGCAACAAAGTGACACTTAGCATGTCCATGTTTCCCAGTTTTTGAAGTTGAAACCTCAACTACCTGTCTCCAACACAAACAACAAAACCTTAAAACAAATTCATAAGAGAATCTAATAGGGTTTGATTCATCACATCAATTGTTAGAATTTCAATTTATCTGAAAAGTCAACACAAAATCATGCAAATAAAATAGATAAAAAATGAAGGAAAGAAAGAATAAGGGACCTTGCAGGGTCTGTTTTTGATAACAATGTGACCATTTTTGCGAATGGTTCCAGCTTGTTGTGGATATGTCTTGGATGCTCCAGCATCAGCTTTGGACTCGAAATGGTGTTCCTCGTCAGACATGTTTCACTTCTTGTTCTTGTTCTTCACACGCCAATACTTTTGTTTTCACGTTTTCTTTTATACACATATATACATGTAACAAAAAATTATTCTCGCTATTTTTTAGTGATAATTATTCAATCTCACATCAAATCATAATATTTTATTTATCTTTTAAATTTAGTTTTAAAATGATTTTAGTATTTTATTTGTTTTTGTTGCCCAATTTACGCGAGGTGACGGTTGGTATGTTGAAATTAAAATTTCTATGATTGGACCACAGGCATATCAATTATATGTATACTCATTAAAGTGCTCAAATGAATAATATTGCACTCCCTCTGTAATATTATAAATAAATTTTATTTTTTTATATTTATTAAATAATTAATATATATGATCTATATATAAATTAAATATAGTAATTATTTGATGAATTTAAGATTTTAAAATTTATTTTTAATATGGAACAGAATGAGTCTGAGTGAACAGTTCAAAGAAAAAAGATTAATTTTAATATTAAATATGTTAGTAGTCCTCATAAATATATTAATATTCAATTTTAATTTTTTTTAAATTTTTTTTTAAATAATAGTCCTTGCAAAATTTTCGGTCTTTAAAATTGATCTCTTCCGTTAGTTCCTATCAACAGAGACTTATGTGACATATTATATAAATTTTTTTTAATGACGTTTAGGATCCATAATCCATAACTACCAAATTTGCAGTGCTAGTTTCTTGTTTGCGGTTCGGTTAGTAGAGAGAACATTATATGTTAATAAATAATGGTTATCAAATTTTTATTCTTATCTTTAAATAGCATTAAAGAAAGTTATAGTAGAGAGAACACTATATGTTAATAGACAATGGTTATCCTTATTGCTGCACCAACTGCAGTTTTTCAGCTGAAGAATTTGACTTGAGTTCACCCCAACACAGAGAATAACATTTCATAGGAAAAGAATGTTCAATTTGATGTTGTGAATTCATTAAACAATGTTTAGTTCAATAAGTCATGGTGTTGTTTGTAGTGTCATTATTAAATTTGATTGCTGTTAAATTTTTTGACTTTTAAATTTATTATAAATTAGTTATGATTTTAGCTATCAATTAGCTATAAATTTTTATGGGTTTAAATATCGTGTTTACTTTAGCCATCTGACAACATCTTTTCCACGTTGGCATTACCATGGATGCAATTTAGTCACGGAAAAACTTTCATGTGACGTGCTTCTGTTAATAAAAAGGAGGAACTAAAAATATGGACGGAAAATTAAAAGTGAAAATCGCAATATTTAAAATATATTTAACCCTTAATTTTATATACAAATTTATAGAATAAGTCGTTATAATAGCCTACTTTTAAAAGATTTGATAATATAAGTAAATTAAATTTAAAAATATGAAAATAGTGAAAGTGAATTTTATTATGTTAAATCTATTTAGTTGATAATATTGTAGCCACTAACTTACTTTTAAAAAAAATAAAGTTTTCTTTTCAGCTATTTAAAACTTCAAAATTATTCTAATTTTAAAATTCCAAAAAAAAAACTCAAATTCTAAAGTTTAAAGCATATTAATATATCTTAGGTTCAAAAATAAAAAATAATGCTAACTCCGTATTTTTCTTTCTTTTTAAATCTTGCAAAAATTCTCTGAAAAATACGAAATTTATATGTCATATAGCAATCAAATCATCGATAGACTTTATGATAGGAAGTTTAATAGAATAGTGTAAGATGTTGGATCGAACTCTAGTATGGTCGAAGGGTAACTTCTGGTTCGACAGGAATTAAGCATGAAGTCAAAGTATGTCCGCACGCTGTTGTCGAAGATAATGCATGTTGTAGTCAAAGTTTGTTCTAACATGCATTAGTCAATATTGCTAGGTTGTTAGTATATTGGATTGAGTCTTGCTTGAAAGCCTAAGTGTTTAAGTTATCTTGTACCATAAATTAGCTTGTAATAGATAATTGTTAAAAAGTCCATTAGGTTAGTGTGCTATTTTTTTTATAAATAGGATGTTAGTTTTTCAATCTTGGCATAAGGAAAAATAGGAAGATAAAATCTTAATTTCAAGAGAGAGAGGTTATTTTGTTATTCATGAATACTTGTAATCTTGTTCTAAGAGAAATAAAAGAATAGCAGTTTAATAATCAATCCTTATTGTTCCTTATTATTTTACCTTGTTATCTTTGTTAAGCCTAACCCCTGTGTGTTTCTTGATCATAAAGAATTCGTTTATACTTTGTTTAAGGACATCTGATTCATAACAAATAGTTTATCATTAGTTAAATGAGTTTTATTAGTATTTTGATATATTAGGAATTATTTTATATTATTATTATATTTTCTAAAATGTTCTTAAGACACTTAAGATGGAGACACTTTAATAGTTAGCATTTGTTTAGAATAGTATATAACAAGTGCATTATCCTCGCTTGTAAGTAATCAAATGAATAAAAAAGTTATCTTTTATTATCTTTTATCTTTATTATTTACTCTTAGATAATTTATTTGTCTTATTAGTTTTAGAGTTTTTATCATGTCTTGTTAGGGTTCATATTTAGCATCCTAACAATTGGTGTTTTCATTCTTGAACTTCTATCCTTCCATGGCATACCCATATTATCATTCTTTCATCCCTCCACGTGTTAATGCTCCATCACCATTATATCATTCTTCCAAATTTACTATTACATTCACACCTCACAGTCTCTTTTCACAACCTGAAACATTTCATCACCAACTAAAAACTCTTCAAAAATATTTGAATGAAACTTACGAACTCTCAAATAAATCTAGAGAAGAGTTGAAATAACAACTTCAAACATTTTCTCAAGAGTCTTATAATTCACTACATAAATTGAAAGAAAAATATCTTGTGTAGAGAACTATAGAAAAAGAAGAAACAGAGACTAGTGTTATCCATTCTATGAAAAAATCGATAACCATTATAAAAACTTTTGGTTCTAGAAATTTCACAGATTCGATTTTACAGCAACCTTATGCTAAACCACCAGCTTCATGTTCATTCTCTCATTAATCATTTACATCTCTCATTGTTCACCAACTACGTGCAAATCAACTACTGCGGCCCTCATATTCAAATACAATTATATCGCCGCCACCAAGACCTCTAAATCCAAATGTTGTGAACATCGCCGCTTTAACTGTGCCACTTCCACATGCGCTACCCTTTAATTTTGATCTCGGTGGATATTCCGACATCACATGCTCTTCCACCTTGCACTGTTATCTCCAAATCTGAAATTTCTAAAGCTTGCACTATTCATTTTCCTTATCGCAACAACAACGACAGTTTTTTTTCTTTGTTTCATTTTGAGTTTTATTGTTTCCATAAGATGAAAGAAAAAAAATAAGGCAATGGAAGTTCCACACCTTTCACGTTGAAATTTCAACACTGATTGCTTTTACGGCAAGAGTCGTCACTTGGGTTTTTCTAACAAACATTAGGTTTACAAATTTTCCTTCTCTTCTTTTATTAAATGGGTAGGGTCCTTTAGTCCATAAATAAAAAAAGAAAATGTTTGAAAGTGTTTTTCCTTGTAGGGCTTCTACAAATTGGATCTTTCAGTCCATCAGTTTTGGCTTTATGAAAAAATATTGAGCCACAATCTACCACCTATGCTTCATACTGCAACATTATAACTTTTTGTTCCTCGTGAATTGGGTTTGAAAATATATCACTTCTTTTTAATTTTTTTTGGGTTTATTATCTATTTTAAAGACAATATCTATTTTGAGATTATTTTAGAATCTTAAGGACAAGGTTCAAGTGAATCAGACGGCAATGATCGAGAGGTTAATATAATAGTTTATCATTAGTTAAATGAGTTTTATTAGTATTTTGATATATTAGAAATTATTTTATATTATTATATTTTCTAGAATGTTCTTAGGACCCTTAAGATTGAGATACTTGGATGGTTAGCATTTGTTTATAATAGTATATAACAAGTGTGTTATCCTCTCTTGTAAATAATTAAATGAATAAAAAATTATCTTTTATTATCTTTTATCTTTATTATCTACTCTTAAATAGTTTATTTGTCTTATTAGTTTTAGAGTTTTTATCCTGTCTTGTTAGGGTTTTGTTGTAAATGCGCCTTAAAACCTTTGTTGATGAAGAGAAAGAAAACATATTTTGGAGATTACATTTACCGCAGAAATCGGAAGTTTTAGAAAGTCGGAAGAAAAAAAATCAGTAGGTGAACATTACTATCCGTACGGATGAATAGTGACGTCCGTAAGGATGAATAGTGTGTCTGTACGATGAATAGTATTTTTGAATTTTCGGGCTTTTTTCAATTTGGTCGATGGATCCATGTGATTTTGGACTTTATTTGTTAGGTAATAGCTATTATAGATATGTATCTTTTATATGTTTGATGTGTGACAATCTTAGAGTTTTTACCAAAAAGGGAGACCAAGGGTTTAAAGGTATAGCCTAGGGTTTCATCTATGCACAAAGAAAACTTTGGATTACAACTTGCGTTTGAGTGATTCATATATTGAGAGTTGGAGAGGTAGGGAAACACTTCGGTAGAAAACTGGGTTGTTCTTGGGCACCTTCAGGGTTGTTCTTGGGAACCTGAAGGCGAAATCTATTTTCTTGTAACTCATATGCAATTTCTTGTAACAACTTTTTGAGTATAGTGAATTGGAGAGCTGCTCTGTCCCCCAGAGTAGATCGTTTGATCGAACTGGGTAAACAAACCTTCAGTTTTTTCTTACCTTATTATGTTATATCATCTGTGTACGGATTATTATTGCTGAAGACTATTTATTTTGGTTACTATTGTTCTTTGACTCATAAATTGATATTGAATTTTGTTGTAATTCACAACAAGATTCACAACAAGTGGTGCGGTGAGCTTGGAGCAAAGAGATATTGTTGACAACTGAGCACCATGGTTAGTAGATGGAAGATCGAGAAATTTTCCAGTAACAACGACTTCGGGTTGTGAAAAATTAAGATGCAAGCAATTTTAATTCAA